TGTGCGGGCTGGGGACTCTTGGAGATGATGTTCCCGGTGTCCTCAGGCAAGACGCTTTACTCCTACATTGTAAGCAAGGGTGCAGCAAAGAGCAAGCATTTTGTTTTGCTTCACACTATAAGTTTTGTTTTTTTGAAGTGCAAATGGAGTAGGTGAGGCTGGCTCTGCATTTTCTGTACAGTTATGTATAAGTATGACTAGGGTTTGACACTAGCAGCAGCAGGCTAGCCAAATACTAGTCGAAATAGCAGCGGGCTTGTCAAACTATTTTTTAAGAAGCCCAGCTGGGCTATGGTGAAGAGGAAATGACAGGAAGAAATAAATCATTTAATTCAGAAAGCAAACCTGTATCAATTCGTGTTTTATTTTATTAACTGTTATTATTAAAAAACTGACACGATTGCCTCAGGATACACGTTTTACATGTATGCACATTGTTGTTTATGAGACATAAAAGAGAAACATGCGGGCGGGTGAAAGTGCCCGCAGGCTAGTTAAGAGTCTGTTTCAGTAGCCCGGCTGGCTAGTGAAAAAGTTAAGGTCGAACCATGACTGTAACTGAAGACTTTCTTGAAAAAAGTCGTTGGCATAAAAAAACTACCGTTAAATTTACAACATGTAGGGCCTAATGAGATTACCATCCATATCAGATCACGAGTTGTTACCAAATCCGGTAAGTTGGCTGTATGTCTCATGACAAAGATAATTATCAATCCAACTTTTTCAGGACTCAAGAACTTTTTCTTCAATCCAACTTTGCAACCTGCCACTTCTGCCAGCAAATCAGCTGGCAGTTTTCCATTTCTTTTCTTTTTTGTTTGTTTTCGCCTGCCCCCTTCAGAGTTCGACTTGACACAGCATCGACAGTTCCCTCTCTCGCTTCCACAACAAGGCCGCCACCCCAATGCACTCCTCCGTGTGCGCCAACTGGCTTCAAGGTTGCAATAAAAATTGATATAATAAGCAATTCAAGCAGACAAAATGTGCCTTTAGAGATTGGGACCTCCGCCGTTTTTCACCTTGGAATTTCTTCTGCTTGACTTCAAGGACATTCATCTCCCGACCACGCCGACGAGCGCGGAGCGCGGCATCGGCATCATCACCGTTTGTCGGCTTTGAACTGGAGGGGGGAGGTTAGGGGGAAAAGAAAAAGTGCAAGCGAGCTCGGGGTCGCGGACAGTGGGTGGCAGTCTTTAGAGCTGACAGATGCTGGAGCGCAGTCAATCCCGAGTGCTGGATTGTGCAGCGGCGCGCGAGAGGCTTGTCCACCGACAAAACAAGGGGGAAAAGGAAGAGAGGGAGACCGAGAAGGGGAGCTGGTGATACGCCGGGATTAAACCAATATTGCAATGCGTTCTTGCGTATTACGCGTCAGGTAATCATTACAAGGCAACGGCCAGGGATGCCAATCAATACCCAAAGCGGGGGTTTGTTCCAGTTTCACAGCAGGCACTGACCCAAATAGATAAAAGTGCAGCCTGTGAGAAGACATGAACCCCACCAACCAAACCCTAATGTCAATTTACACTTAGCTGCCAGATCCAGTTGAGCCCTGAAAGATACAATGCCGTCGCTTTTCAAAAGACTTGTGTTTACATGTATACCATTTTTTTTAAAGATCAGAGTTCAAAAGTCACTTTGAAAGTATCAGCATTGGCTAACATTTCAATCCTCAGTGTCATAATTTGCTTTTCATATCAATCTTTTCAACGAGCAATACCTACATGAGCACGGTGCAAGTGTCTTGAATTGGAAAACGAAGATAGAGGATCTTGCAGAGTATTACACAAAGAATTGGAAAGACAAGGTACAATTTATACAGAATTTCAGGTACAGAATGACGACTGACTTCAGAGGAACTTTCATATTGCTTGAGCTTCCTGTCATCTCGGCTTACTCACTGCAAACTCTACCGCCGAAATACATTCACAGGAAGAAATACATTCTAAGGAACACCGTCTGCTCCCCGGAGGGAATGATGAATAATTTGAGTTGTCCTTTGAAGAGTATGACCTCATCGAAGAAATACATGGAGAAAATCATGAGGAACTGCTCCAAAAGAATATTTCAAAAATGGGGCAATTTCAAAAGAAACAAAAATTGGGCAATTTCAAAAGAAAACTGTCAGACAAATTAAGCTGTACCACTAATTTACAACATGTAGTTGGAAAAAAATTAACACAAACAAACTTTGATTTTTAGATCACTGTACAGGAATCAGCACCCTACCAATTGGGCTATCCAGCCCTTTGTTTACATGCTCTCGTTTTTGTCAGCTCTAACGGATTTGCAGTAAATGACAGAAGTATTGTAAAACATCGACATTCATAAACTAGGAGAACTTCCAAGCGCGTTTTTATATAATGAAGTATTTTAGACATGGTGTTTTTTTGTGTTACTACTGGGATCTAGACATTGCAATTCCATACACTAATGACACAAGTACACCCTGTCAGAGCAAGTTCAAGTCAAGTTCAAACCTCCGACACAGGGTGCCATTCTGGGCCAAGGACCAAGAAAACAGAGTGGCATCTGATTGGTCAATTTGACAAACAGGTGGTAAGAGTCAACGAGACAATTTGGATAACACAACAAGCCATCTGCACTATCAACCCACACTGACAAAATCGGTTTGATTTTCAGGTTCAAATTTGGAAGTGTTGCATACACACTAGTTTGGTCTTGAACAAAAAAAGAAATGTAAACTCCGAGTATGTACATGTAAGATAGTCAAAACTAGGAAAGTTGTGGAATACAAATTGAAATGTAACTTGTACATTTAAAATTATATATCTGATGAAATAAGCTCTTCTTTTAGCATGATGAACGGTTCAGTTTTAGCTGATTTCAATGTACGTATGTTCATCTAAATGATCACACGAACACTATGCAGTCATTTTGTTTTACTTTGCCATCATCTCCCCTCCCCACCCCTTTGTTTCTCCCCTTGATTAAAATTTATGATCAAAGAATTTCCACTCGGAAGGTGCGCAACCCTTTGAAACAAATGAAGCGGTTCACACGCTCGGTTCCACTGCACTCTGTATAAAGTGAGCGGCTAAATAAAGACGCATTAATGGCCGAAGATGGGAACACCATCTCAATCAGAAATCAATATCAGCGTGACCTGAGACGAAGTACGCTGACCCCTCTAAGTGTACTTTTGCCCGGGACGTGGTGGGATGGGGAAAAAGTGGCGTTGACGTTTCTAGCATCTTGAGATAGGAGTGGAAGAAAGGGGGGGGGGAAGGTAGGTAGGGGACAAATGGACAGATCGTCTTGCAAGACAGTGGGGCTCAGACAAAGATGACAAAACTGCAAGGATCAGTGTCGAGTGAGGACAATGCACTGTCGAGCTTTCTCAGAGTCGGGCGAGGTTCTTGCATCGTGCAAGCCGGGATCGTAGAGAAAAGGGAAGGGTATCGATGCTGAACAATTGACAGATGGGGTGGTAAATGGAGTGACAGAGAGATCCTGTGAGTGAGTAGTGGAAACAATCTTAAAAATAGAGGGAAAAGGACACCAGTGTATGAACCTAGTACAGCATATACACTCAATTTCAATTCGGTGTTTGTACTTTTGATGAAAACTTTCTTGAAACCAAACGGAGGACTACTGTACAAGCCAAAAAATTGATGTTCCAAGCCAATACACGATGTACGTACAAAACACAAAACTGTCTTCTAATTTTCTTTTAAACTTCAAATGGAGAGATGGCTGGTTTACAGGGTTCGGGGGAGGGTTGAATTAAAATGGCTAGTTAAACAGACCTACATAAAAATGTAGATTTTAGACACACAAACATGACAAACATATTTGTTATAGAAGCAGGGCACGTGCACTTCTCTATTCACGTCCTGAATGAATGCTCATGACACACACAATTTTACGAACAAAAGACCAAATCATTCGCTCCGGCGCCAGCAATCAAAAGGAACCATTTTCACGACCCATTTTACCAAAAGCCTGCCATTGTGCAGGCACAGAATTGGTTGTGAAAGAGCAGCCCAACTAAATGTGCGTGTGGAGTTTGTAAAACTCAGGACCAGACGAAGAGAACACTGAATGGCTGAATCACTCAAGTCCTTGAACCAATCTCGCGCACTTTTAAAAAAAAATTTGAGTCTCTGATCAAAAATTGGGCCAGGGAAAGAAAAAGGCTTTTAAAAATTTGACAAGAATTGGGTGCCGTCACCTCAATGATGAGAGAAAAAAAATTATAATTAATTTGCACATTTGGAAGATGCTGGGTTTGTTTTCAAACTACTGGCTGAAACACTTCAGACTCATGTATCTGCTGGGTTGACAAAAGCTCTTTGCCCCGTATAAGAAAATATATTGAACATCCTAACTTCTTAAAGTGAACATACAACATTTTTGCGGTAATTTTCAGAAATGGATGGATACGGGGTTAGTACTTTATAGCAAATATTGTTACATTGACTTGTTTAAAGTTTTGTGTTCCTACATGTATATGCTGGAAAAACCAAAAAAAAACAATCATGTTCCTGTAGTCTGATCCCTGACCACACCTTAAGATGCAACAGAGCAATTATGGAGGTATTTGAAAATAGCCAGTTGGAAATTGTGCCATGATAGTACAGGATGCTACTGTCATTCACTAACAGTCCAGTAAGGTATTTCACAATAATTTGGTAGTTTTGTTTTTTGATGTTTGCAAATGTTGTATTGACGCAAGGAACATGTCACAAAATTAATATCTTAAATGCAGAGGGGGAAAATTCATACATGTGTAAGGCACTGGTCAGAGATTGCAAAGGACACTTGTTGTGCAAGAAATTCCAGGTATTTAGAGAAACAGAAACTCTGTAAAAAAGACATTGTCGGAGAGAAGATTTCCTTTCATCCTAACTTTGCATCAGTTTCAATGCACTGAAGCTGTACAAACACCACAACTCAAGGAACAATAGTGAAAGTTTACACTGACAACTTTCACTGTTGTTCATTCCAGCTCTTGATAGGTAATCAATCCGACTTACCTGGATTGAACAGAATCGTCATTTTCAGATACGCGTATTCCTTATCGTCCAGTCCCATCAATTCACATTTACTGAAGAAGCACTCCATCATGTGAATGTCCGATTGCGTGGGGATGCCTTGCAGCGCCACCAGGCATCGCAGGAGCATGTTCTCGCTGGTGTGACCGTGACAGTGGTGGCACGTCTGCGAATCGCCGCTCCCGCTGCTGCTGCTGCTACTGTCCATGCCAAAATCAAAGTCCACGTCCTCCGTCTCAAAGTGGAATCGGTACTGCGTCATCATCAAGACTAGGAGTTCGGCCCAGCAGTGCTGGAACAGCGTGATGCGGTCGTGCGGGCACAACCGCTGGCAGGACGGTAAATTCCTGACAAAGTCCACCGTTTTGAGCAAGAGCTGGGCGGCCTGCTGGCAGATGATCTCGTGGTGTTTGAGTGTGATGACGGTGGGTGGGATGAGGGCGCTGTTGGCTCGCCGCCACAGGGCCTGGTTGACGGCCTGCGAGACGGACGGGATACCGGTGGGATACCTTCTGTCGGTGGGTGTTGCTGCACTGGCGGCGTTGCTGCTGTTGTTGCTGCTGCTGTCGGTGTCCATGGCCTCGTGGGTACTGGACGACAGCAGACTGTACAAGATGCTGCCCTCTTTCATTCTTTCCGGGCAGTCGCAGGACGATAGCGGCATGGATGGTGAAGATGGTTCGGTGGATTGTGACGTGGACTTGCTTTGCATCGGTGCCATATCCGATTAAACGCACCACAGAGTTACATGTAGGCCCCGATAAAAACTGTTAACCTAAAGAAAAAATACCAAAAAAACACAATCATTTGTTTGAGTTACATTAACAATTAGAACATTGTATTATAACCCTAACCTCACCTAAAGCTACAAAATACTTATAGTAGTAAACTGTAGTATGCAGTGCTTCCATATATAAGTGGGCATAGTATTTTCTAGTATTTGGGTACCTGCAAACATAACTTTTGTAGTACTATGTAGCAAGTGGTACTTTACCCAAAATAAACTCTTTGGGGATTTGGGTTAAACTCTTCACTTCAGTTCACCAAATTTATAAAAAAAAATCCAGGCCAAAGCACCTCTGTGGAAATATTTTCTTTCAACTTTTAAAATTTCCCATTCGTTAGCTTGTTAAAACATTCAACATTTCCTATTCGTTAACTTGTTAGTGGTTCCTTAAATGTAAAAATAAAAAAAAACTTATAAAAACACCTTTGCATGTTCAATGAAAAATACTTATAAATCCTTCAATACAATTATTTTTCACACAATGAAAGGTTTAGGCAGTGGAGTGAGTGTTCGCTAATGCAGTGTACATGTATTAATATACAGACACACATGTACATGTATGTTACTTTGCCCGAATCATGAGAATTTATGTATTAATCGTCACAGACACATGATAACCTTATCCCTCAATCAACAATGGGCCTTATTCACGAGTCGGCCATATTGGATTGAGAGTGAGGTAAAATCTTCATTTTTGGAACTTGTGTAGAGAAATGAAAGCAATGACGTTACATATAAATACCAGTCTGCTCTGATGAATAATGTAAAATATGTGATTAAACGTACTCTCATGTTTTAAGCCACATTTAAATAAAAAATAAAAGTGACGCTATAGTGAATAGTCTGGCACAATCCCATTCAACAGTTCACAATTTATGAAATACATTCAGGGAACAAGACAAAATTTGCCAACTTTAAGGCCCATAGGCCCTACTGAACGCCAGTTTCAGATTTTGCGTTGACAGATATCAAGAGAGTTTTGATACACCTACCTGTGCAAATATGTCAAATTCTCATTTTCCAAATTTTGTCACAAGAATTTAAAAAAAAAACAAGATTCAATCAATCGTCAGATTTGGTTGAGATGTAGGATATTAAACTGCATGTTAAATTGCAAGATCGTTTCTATATGACCACCTCTTCAGTGATGTCTCTCAACCACTCACTTCACTGAATGACCGTGTAATAACTGGACCAAGTGACCACTGACCATACTAATAACAAGTACCGTCCAGCTGACCACAGAATGCACAAGTGGGTTCAATAATCTTGAGCATTACATGTATTGTGCATGTGACATGTGCAGGCAATATTGACAGTGTTAATGGGTGTGGGGGCTTCAGGAACGACCTTGGCAGTTTTACAGGCCCGGTGAATTGAATTCCAATAAAGTTGTCAATAATGGATACCTGGAAAGGGTTGCTTAAGCCATGCTGGAGAACACTCAACCTTGAGTGTGTGGGAGTGTGTTATATAACAGCGCTAATCATCCTTTACACACACGCCTATTAATACATTGTGGCATCTTGGAGTTGGAGGTAGGTGGCATCCCCCACAACAAAAAAACAGGGACAAAAACAGCACACTGGCTTGCACAAAGTAGTGGAAATGGTTTTTAATGAAGAGGAATTCTTAGAATTTACGGAAAGAATTCTGCATCCTGACGCCACTTTTTTTCATTATATTTTAACTCAATGATCAGTCACTGCACAAGACATTAATTTGTGGGACTGAGAGACATTTCCAATTTTGTTAAAAATACTTTGCAAAATGCACTCAACTCTCCATAGACTTTGTACACAGCCACAGAAGTGGAGTCAGGATGCCACATTCTTTGCTAATTGACTGTCTTGTTGTATTAATAGATAACATGAAGATACCTTGAAATAATTACACACTTAATTACATCATATATCATCGCTGTTTATTAGCAGTTTAAATTACTTTCGTTATCCTCGCATCGCCTCGTACACACGTAGAGTCTAAATTAATGGAAAACTGAATTTGCTGCCCAAGGTGAATTGTCATCAGTAAAGTAATTAAATGATACATTGTTATTGATGACTTGAACTACGACCATCAACTGATTATTTTTCAATGAAATAAAGGCCTTGAAAACATTTTCAAAAAATCACTTGCAAATTTTATAATGCACAGTTTTCCTGATGATTTCATTTTTTTGTGTACACATTAGAAAGTTGTTTTTTTCCTTTAAAAAATAGAAAACATGAGGTAAATCAAACAGTTTCTTTAGAAGTGAAATCATGTGTTTACATCTAAGCCCAGGTTGAAACCTCATACAAAAGCTAAATTGTAAACAAAACAGTTAACAATTTCTCTACAACTACATTAAAATACATTGTTCTTAAAATTTACTAAATCATAAAATTGCAAAATTGACATTTATCCCCTCAGAACTGTAAATTTAACTACCAAAATTATTCAATTTTTGAAGCACAGAGAGAAAAAGAAATACCTCACAGAATTTGGCGAATAATTGAGATTTAAGCAAAGAACGATGCGTGCATGCAGCGGGTAGCGCAACATGATTAGGCCGAGTGCAATGCCTCACTCCCCCCGTCAAGCAAGCACACTGCACTCCTCGACTCTCGCGCGCCGCGTACATAGTGTCATTGGCCTTCACTTCATGTGGATGTAATCTGCACCCCCAAAACAAAACTCGCAACCAGATTAACCCACACAGAAACACACCATTTCCCTCCAAAAACACCCCGAGAAACGGCTTGTAAAAACGGCCTGCTTACCCAGCACGGTGTATGCACCTCCAAGGTCCGATATTCGGGAACTTTGCGGCCACAGCAAAGATGAGAAAACGAGAGGAAAATGTGGAGTTTACCGGTCTTAAAAAAATCCAAGCGGCTTCGCACGAGTTTGCCTGCGTGCATGTGTACTGACGTGCGGTTTCTCTGTCGCGCTACACATGTGCTCGCTTTATTATGAATAGGATTGCATGCAGTGCTGGCTTCAAGTTCGTTACCCCTGACCCATTTAATTGCCGGCGCTGATTGGTTCGACTCGGCGCCTCATTATAATAAAAATTAGCAAGTCGTATTCGCGATTGGTCCAAGTTCGTGGCAGGTGGATACACTATGCGGGCCCCGCAACCAGCACAAATCGGACCACAATGCGGAAGTATCCTTGTGTTTGTGCAAATGAATTGCTTTATAGCAATATGCTGTAACATTGAGCATTGATGTTTTTGCCTTTTCAACGATTGAACAATCCGCCGAGCCCGAATGGCACCACATTTCACCAAGGTCTTTTCCGGATTCATTCCGTAAAATTCGGGTCATGCAAGGTCAAATTGAGAACAAAAAATGGTGACAAAATGCCAGGTCTATGACCGACTGTGCTCAATGCAATCACGCTATGTGCAGCACAGATTGCCAGGAACACAATCGTCATGTTCCCCCCAAGTACTATTATGCACGTAGGCCCAAAATCTTGTGCACAATAATCAATGGTTAGCCCATGCAGGAATATGTTCTTATTCCTCCATGGTTAGCCATAAATAAATTCTTAAAGGGAAGATACAACATTTGCAAACATCACAAAACGAAATGATCAAATTATCACGAAATACCTTACTGGACTGTTAGGGAATGACATTATTTTCGTGGCTCCTGGTGTGCTGACATTTTCAAGAAAAGTTGTATTTTTCTGACGCTTGTTGGCCGACCAGCGTTGGAGAAAACTGGCTATTTTTCAAAAACTGCTCCGAATTTTCATAATTAGTTATTTCGCGTTTTCTTTGCAATTGATTACACACCTGTGAAGGGGTACAAGTCTGCTAGACTGATTTTCTGACCTTACAATTCCCCAAGTCTATAATTGCTCCGTTTCATCTTAAGTGGGGTCAGGGAACCAGACTGCAAGAACATGATTGGTTTTCTTGTTCTTTTCCAGCATCTACAAGCCCAAAACGTGAAAAAAGTCATTTCAACAATATTTGCTTTAACACACTAATCCTCTAAATCCATTTATTTCTGAAAATTGCAGCAAAAGCAAATGTTGTACATTCCCTTTAAACAAAACGTGACCGTAGCTTCAATGTAGATGTTGATATTCACGCAATCTGCAGGCGTGTCAAGGATATTTTCGGATTATTTGCATAATGTCTTTCCAAGTCATAATATAAATAATGTCTATGTTTAGACACACACACACACACAAAAAAACAAGTGCGAGTGCACAAGCTCTGGCTGTGTTGCAAGAAGTCTTGCATGGAAGTCTTGCATGAAATCGATCAAAATGATCCCTGCCAGAGCTGAAAAATGCGACGCCCAAAAATGTGACGCCCATGCCACATAATTATGGAGCACTTTTGGTTAATTATCGGGGACAGACAGACAGACAGACAGACAGACAGACAGAGGGACGTGTCGGCCAGACGGAATTGTGGGGTGATGGCATTGCGTTCCCTTTATCCTTTTTTTTCTAAAGATTCTCTTCTGGGGTGATGTTTTTCTATCATGTAAAAATAGTGAGGTGATGTGTCCTGAAAGGAACATCACCCCACATCAAGGGGTATGGTTAGAACAGACAGACAGCAGACAGACATACCGACCAACCACCAAGTGACATGTAGGCCTAGATGCTCATGCCAGACCTTAAAAACCAGGACGATTTCGTATACAGTCGATGTAAAGAATATAGCAACTTGTATCAAGTAATGGAAGAAAAGTGACGCAAACTTCTGACGTTGATGTATTCCAAAGAGTGTGCTTGTCAAAAACAAATTACACTTTGTGTCTGTTTTGAGTTCCAAGTTCAGTCGTTAAAAATAAACAACAAAATTGAACGTATAAAACAAATTAAAATGTCAAGACACGAAATTATTATGAAAATTAAAGCAATAACCAGTTGGAAACGAAACATCGGTGGTACTATTTTTATAGATATGACGTCAGTCGAAAATAAGAAATATAATCGTCCCATTTTTGAGTCCCTTTTTCCCGTTCAACTTGAATTGTATGAAGAGCACAATATAATATTATTACCCTTTGGTCCACCCACCGCAGATTCAGAGAAGCGCACTGTTACGCTCGACCGTAATCGCCCACAAAAGGTCGGGGCGGCCGGCCACCATTATAATGTCGGCTAAATGTGGACTCAAATGACGTCATCGTCTGTGTATTTCTTGTAATAAGGCAACACTTCCTGATGCCGACCGCGGTCGCATCAGCGTAGTACGTACGGACCAAGGCGGGTGCGGCAAGAATTCGGGTGTATTTATGGTGTCCACGTCATTACATTAAAGACTAAATACTAAATGAGTAATGACATGTACTGTAAAAAGCTATGTATCAGATGACGTCGGTCTGTGTGAAAACAAGCTCATGATCTCGGAAGCTGCGGACAAACGCAGTTGAGTTCATGCATGGTGACGTGATGTGCCATGTCATTTCTTCTGGAGTAGTGTGTTCAGTTCTTCCTCCATGGTACAAACATCAGGTTTTTTACCCTAGTGACCCAATTTTCCAGGACTACCATGCAAGGCTGTTGCTGACGTTTGTTACTAACTAACCAACGAACCAACTACCAGAGAGACACGAACAGTTGTTGAGCTGCTGCCCGCAGCTAGAAATATTAAAGAGTAATGGGCTGCTTTGACGCCGCTTGAATTGCCTCAGAAAACGAGTTCAAATCTGTGCCGACAAAATGCTCGGGTGGTGGCCATATAAAAGTCGAACCGTTCGATAAGCAGTGACGTTCGACTACATGATTGGACGACGATATGAAACTATTCTCCAATCACATTCTCTACCTTTTCGTGATTTGCATATTTCATAAAATTGTCCGTTCCTTTTCACTTGTCTCTATCCTTCAAAGTATGGTGAATCCAATATGCCCAAAATGGCATAGAGATATACAGAGGTGTTTATGACTTTGCTGAACTTGACAAGGCTGTATCGAGCTCAAGATTATGTTCTGCACTAAACTCACCGTATATCCTTGTACCCTGCTAAAATAGTGCAAGTTTAAAGGTTGTGCAATTCGTCCTTCGCTGCTTCACTCGTGATGGCCACCTATCGCAAGGTTTGCAATTTGTCAAATTTGGCGCCGATGGCTTGGGAGCTCTCCTTGTCTGCACACTCGCACGGATTAACCGGCCTTGGTCCGCGTCAAGTGCAGCGGCGACACGCCAAGCGTGCGAGATTCCCAAATTCCCCTACTTCAGATCAAATTACGATTACAAAGCTATGTGTCATTAACGAACGAAATGAATAAAGCATCAAGGTGAAAGAAAGAAAGGTGCCCTGACGCCGCATAACCACGTTTTCGCAATTAATTATTGGCTTGGTAAGACACCTGTTTTGAAAAAGACTGAACGGCTTGGTACACGGCGGTTTACTACTTGTTCAATGTGTTGGCAGTTATCGCTGGTGCCCACGTCCGTTCGCGCCTGATTTATCAAACACGTGTCTAACGTGTGAAGTTTGGTACGCTGAACTTCCGCCTTTTCCTTTGATGGCCTTGAAACGGGCTTGGCGTTCGTGTGAACGGCATGCGTTTAAGTCCCACATCAGGGTGGACACAATCTGATCTAATCTCGGTGACAAAACTAGGGAAGAACTGAAGGCTGGTTATTTTGTTTTTGAAAAGTTGCGATAGAAATACACCTGCGATATAGCAATTTTTTTTAACCAGAAAGGTCTTCCAAACTCGGTCCAGATTCAATGGCGACATGCATTGAACACGTACAAGTCCTCGTAATCTCGTTTCACGTTGTGAAGGCACGAACATTTGGTTTAATGCATTAAAGTGAAACACTATAATTCTTGACCAAAAAATACACAGGGAAGACGGGGAATCGGCAATCATCTGTGCACATCACAAATTGAAGTGTTGTTTTTCGATCATGTACGCGTGATCACTAATACACGCACGAGGGCCCCTTCAATTGTTATGGAGAAACCAATGTGTACCCTATTGTACAAAGCAACTGCCCCATGGCGGATTATCTTAACAATAGCTAGCAGTAGCACAATGCTTTCGCCATGGAAGGGGGCCTTCGTGATAGAATTGATAGCCTTCCTGGAGTGGTATATAGGGGGTCTACCCGATGTTCCCCAAAATCCTTAGGATTATGGTAGTCTTGTAGACTACCAAATTTTTCAGGAGACTTGGCTCTGTGGATAACGGGTGATACTCAGACTAGGGTTAGGGTTGGGGAACATAGGTATTCCGGGGGAAAATAGGTATTGGGGAACATAGGTTGCACCCCGGGTATATAGTCAGTGGGTTTATCATTACCTATTGTTTAGGAGGCGTGAGATGTTACCCCAGCCGGCTCTATGATCCCTGTCTGCCTTCCATGACCTGGATAACGAAAGATACGATGAACATAACAGCACACATTCACTCCCTCGCCACTCTTCCCAGACATGCCATTACATTAGGGGAGTGGGAAATGTGTCCGTTTTTGAACTCCGTATCTTGCATCCCTTGCAACTATTTCGTAATATTGTATTACAGAAGCAAATCCGTGGTAAATAGAGCCCGTCCTGAGCCTCCCTTCTCTTGCCTCCCCCTACACCTCTCCCCTTTTCCCTTCTGCTGAGGTTAACGAACCATTGCCTGTACTTTGCCGACCCGTACGGTCCCGTCGATACTCGTGCCTCAGCGGTGACCCTGGATTTGCTTGCGAGAGCGAGCTTCTCCCTGCGTGTGTGACGCGCGGGCCGCTGATAGAAATCCGTGTTGGCCGACTAGTAGTAGTCTACGCGCCGTGTGCCGCCGAGGCGATGAGCGGACGGGACCGCTCGATGAGAACTGATTCGCACTCTCCGACGGAGCAGCCGACGGCTGTTTTGTACCCCCAATGGCCAGCTTTCGTCAAATCGCCACGTTTCATTTCAGCCAAATTACTTATCATCAAATTAAACCACGATCAGGTTGGACAAACAATAGTTGACTGACGGCGGGATATGAACCCGCGACCTCTGGA